CAAAATGGTATACTTTCAAAGACCAGACTGGGTCTGTGGCTCTTTTAGTCCCCCCTTCAAGTTCGCCGGGCTGATACAAATATCTTACATTGATAGTAGGGGGGAGCTTTTTTCTTTCAACAGGCCTGGAATACTTAGTGGAGGGTTTAGAGGTGACAGCCTTCTCTTTGATAGCGGCAGCTGGTTTTTTCCCGATAAGACTAGTCACTCATTGTTCAGAGCGGCAACAACGTCGGGAAGCCTTTTGACCCACGCAGTCGACCCCTGGCCCGCAGGTAGGAGTATTTCCACAGTATACTGATGGCCGAACAAGCGCTCGGCAAGGGTGCGGTTCAAACGCTCAACGATGGCTTGGTCTCTATGAATTTCAGTGCGTCCGCGGCGAATATAGGTTTTGTGATTTTCCATTTCTTTGGACACACTCCCCATAAACTCGCGGCCAGGGTCAACCTGCAGCATATTCGGCCAAGTCAAAGGGCTGCACTTTTAAATAGACTGAAAGGCCTTCGCAACTTCAGCAGAGTCTTTCGAGGTCAGAGGCTCAGCTTCTTTATAACGGCTGGCGACGTCAACAACAGTCAGCGCGTATTTATAGACTTTGCGGCCACGCGGAAGCCTGTCGTGTCGTAAAAAAAGAAGGCCTGCTTGATGGACCGAGTTAAGCGACGAGACGTCGAATTTTTGACGGGGAGTGTAGCGTGGCGCAGGGAGATAGATCTGCCAGAGAGCTTGTTTGATAAGCCACTGCTTGGCCGTTTTTTCGGGAACTTTCGCGGCTTCTGCTAATTTTTTGATGGCAGAGATCCCTTCCCAGTAGCCCTGAGGGCTGTAGTAGACTTTGGAGAGCTTGGTGTCCATTATTTTACACCCGCGAAAGTTTAAAGAAAACGAAACGCGGCATAGCCGAGCGCGAGCGCGCTGACGCCAACAAAGAGCAACTCGCCCTGTTTCTGCAGCTCACTTGGCTGATAGAAGTCAGAGAACTGGGGTTCTTTGGGAGCCGTGATTCGCTGGTCCGGGTACGCCTTGTTGTAGAGTTTGAACGCGTAATCGGTGTTCGTGAAGTTCTGCTTCGCCTGTTCTTTGATTTCTCTGTTGGTTTCGATCCAGTCAAGAAGCTTGGTGCGGTCGCGCGTGTATTTGGCTTGAGCGGCCTGATAAGCTTCAAGTATTTAGCGAGATAGTTGCCGCCAGTGAAAGCAGCGGCGTTAAGAATTGCGCCTCCGAGCATCATTGCAATGCTGGCCATTGTATAGCAACAAGCTTACTTTTTTCAATTCGTCGGAAGAATCTTCTGGTCTTCGAGATGCTGTTTCAGCGCGACGCTGCCCGCCATGACAGCGGTGAATTTTACATAGCTCGTGACGTTGCTGCTGGGGTCAGCGGTCATGTTTTCTCTAACCACCTTTTTCGCAATCCAGCCGATGCCGGCGGCCAAGCCGGTCAGAGTTGCGGCATCCATGATCGTTTTAACGAGCTTGTTGTCAGACATACCTATAAGACACGTTTTTTTTTTTTAATTAAAAAAATTAATCTATCGGATCCCGACAGACCATACATTCTTCTTCTTTCAAATCAGAATTGTCGCCTGAGCAATATTCAAAACAATCCTCGCACAATCGTCTTTCTTCTGAGACAGGCTCTTTCCAGGTGACGCGCTTTTCTTCGGCGAACGGCGTAGAAATGAGATGGTGGACCGTTGTGAAAACCTTTTTGTTGAAATTGAACCAAGGCACCCCTATTCCAAAA